CCCACATTGCAACGCACGGCCCTGGAATGCAGCTGAAGAGTTCCAATCCCCCCCAGTCCATCCCTCCTGCCAAAGCAGGGCCAATCCTATACAACTTTCACTAGTATGTAGATCTGCCAGAGTCTCACCAACTCAGACCTTCACACGGGACAATGTACACCAAATAACTTTTACTTTGAACTCAGAACTGCTGCCACTGCAACACCTGCCACCAAAGACACAAGCCTACAAGCAGATCCAGGCTTACATTGCAATGTAGGGCCCTGGAATCGAATTGTACCTCAGGAGTTGAACTGCCCCAGTCCATGCTTCCTGTAACAGCAGCACCGATGAGTCGATCCTCTTCCAAGCGATACTTTCAAATCAGACGCATCGCAGTGCACTTGCCACTTCCGTTGGGAGCCCTGCATCGACGCAAAACATATCCCACAATATGCGGCCTACGTTTTGCAGCATCTCACGATCTGTCTTCCAGAATGCTTTGGGCCTTTTCTGGTATCCGTCTATTTAGAGGCGCCTGAAAGACATAAATGTTGGGAAGCCCTTTCCCCAAAAAATGCAATAATCTAGTAGTTGGGGGTTTCTCAAAGTGAAGGAAAGGGGCCCGTGAAGGGTGGGGGAATGGTCGCTTTCTGTGCTTTTGAAAGCTAAGGAGCTGTGAAAGCACATGCGCCAGGACCCAACCAGCGCCGAGCCTCAAATCAAATAGCGGTCTGCGCAACGCGAACCTCTTCACACGCGCCACACTTCAAAATATAACCGCCCTGCCATCAGCATAGAAAGTGGTGGACCCAACATAACTACCTCAAATGCACTCACTCAAACCCAAAACCTCAACACACACGCGAGCACACAATTGACCGCAGAACTTCTCACACCCAAGCCCAGTCCGATGCCACCCAACCCACCAGCTGGTTGGGCATAGCGAGCAGTGCGTCGCTCTTCGTCATCTTATTTACTACCACATACCATATGGTTGCCCGGCTTCACCAAGACTTCCTCCGCCCCAAAGACTGAGGCAAAACGAACAGTGGGAGCTGTACGTCCCCTCACTTGTCGCAGGCAATGCACCCACGTCCACCACTTGGCCCACATGCTGTAGATGGAAGCTGTAGCGGTGTCCCAACTGCGGCTCTCCCGCCTCCAGCGCTGGTCCGTGGCGGTGTCATGGGCCCACCAGGTGGAGATGATGGCAGTCAGCGGGGGGCGATGCCCCGCCCTGCGCTGCTCCTCTACCTCGTGGGTAGTGGATGGGGAGAGGTGGCCGCCACATACTTCAGGTCGGGCATCTCGGTGAGCAGCTTGGATTCCCCCACCCATGGGTTCTGGCCGCCCTGGAGGGCCTTGATGGTCGGGATGTAGAGCTAGACCATCTCAGCGCGGTCCGGGACGTTGTGCCAATCCATGGATAGGGCACATGAGGCCATTCTCCAGCTTCCTGTTGAGGTCTTCTGGCCAGACGGAGGTGTCCACTGCCGTCAAGCTGTACTTGGCCATGAAAGCCGCGCCTCCTGGATTTTCTTGTTGGCTGCCTTGGCCTGGTCCAGGGTCGTCATCGTCATCTTGAGAGCATCCTCGGTGCGAATTCAGCCATCGCTTCCACAAGGCCTCCTGGAAGTCCAGAAGGTTGACCTTTCGAATCTGGCTGTCCGGGACTGCCTGCATGCCCTCCTGGATTGGTGCCAAAACAGCTGCCTGCAAGTGAGCCTTGGCGGCAATCTCCGCCTCCTTCTCTTCCTCCTGTTCCTTCTCCTTCTCCGCCTTGAGGTCGGCCGCCGTCAGGCCCTGGAGCGCTTGAGACTGGAGATGGAGGGCCTTCTGGTTGGTGCTCGGCCAGGCGTTCTCTCGTACTCTGCCGAGAGGATCTCCTGCCGGATGTGGATCCTGCAGTTGCTGGGGACCTCATCAGCAAAGGTGCGCTCCTCCTCGGTGCAGGTGGCAGCGGGTGCCTGGGCATATTGGCTGCCATCAACCGAGTCGGCCAGCTTGTAGGCTTGTTCGACCTCAGTGGGATCAGGCCCAGCAACCGCAGGGCCAGAGGCACGTGAGGAAGACTGGGCCGGTGCCGAGCGGCGCATACAGGAGGTGCCACGTCGCTGGTACTCGTGCGTGGTCGCACTTGCACATCCAGCGGCACATCGCAGCATCCGGCCAAGGCGTATGGCAGGCCTTGCACATGGAGGTGAAGGGAGTCTCCCCTGCGGGGCGATGCAGCCCTCTGCCCAGTGGGGTCGTCTGCCTGTGTCCAAGGAGATCCGCAGCCGCCATGGCATCCGGCGCGGCAGCTGGGCCAGAGGCACCAGGAACTGAGGGGGCCGCGGTCGCAGGCTCCGGGATGTCCGTGCCCTTGTTGGCGTCCTGAGGTCCCGGATCTGGGCTTGCATATCTAAGTCTTCCACCACGACCGGTTTGCCAAAGACGGAGAGGCCAGATGAGGCCAGCAGCTGGCTCGTCTTGAGCATGGCGGAGGGCAGTAGATGCCGCGCCCGCTTCCTGGTTGAGTCGCTCCATGTCTGCGCTACTGACAGTAGCAGTGTCCATCAGTTCCTCAGCCCCAGAGGCTGGTTGAGCTTCTGTGAAGGTTTCAAGCATCACGTACTCGGATTCCATAGGGTGCGCCATAGCGATGGGCGTCAAGAAAGAAACCTACGGTCGAACCCAAGCACCTAAACCACACCAAATTTCCGTTGGCAACTCACTCGAGGTTGCCACCCAACTTGAGCCAAAATGTCCCGGTGGGACATTTTAGTGAGTTTTCGTGAACATAAAACTTGTAACCGCAAGCTCAATGCAAGTGTATCTGTATATGCATATTGTAGTACATGTCTGGTTCTCAGTCTCAGAACAAAGTGTCACTGTTTTCACAAGCAATTGGTAGATAAGTGAGGATGTGTGGACTATCCGTGAATTAGAGCATTGGCTACGCTTGAGGAATGAGTTTGAGTTTGTGGAGAGCTGGTGCTTTCAAGCTGGCTGCTTTTTCACTAAGAGGGCCAACTTCTCAGCAGTAGCGTTCCGTGCTGCACACAGGGACCTGCCAACCAGCACAGCACCTGCGCAGCATCGTACGCAGCACCGAGGTCGGGCCATTCGCTTTGGCCCCGGTCCAAAGGGGCAACAGAACGACCCAGGACAAGTCGGTCAGCCCGGAACATGTGGACGCGGGCTTCCTGAGCGGCTTCCGGTGCGGCTGGGCGCAGCTAGGCGCCGAAAACCATGAGATTCATCATCTTCTAAGACAGGCAGCAGCTCTGTGCCTTCGGCCGGCGGATGATAAACAATTCACAGTTGTTACGTCCATTGAATGGCGATCTGCATTTGTGCAATGTCATAAGCTGTGCTCTTTGAGTCTCAGACCATGTTCATGTTCTTGTGAGCTGGCGGTGGGCGAATGCTTCGCACCAGCGTAGCAAAGGGCACCGAGCAAACAGCACGTGAACCCCATGCCACTCACCAACTCCACCTAAAGGCTCAACGCTGTCCCAAGATTGCTTGCTTCATGCCTATGCATTGAATACATATGAAATGCCAAAACTGAAGGCATGACTAGAGGAAGCGACTATGCATTACGCATGCTGTCAAAAACGATGGGAAGCACATGGAATCTATATAATCTGAGCTGCCCACGGAATCCTGAAAAAATACGACTCCGGTTATCACCAACGGAATCTGGTGCAATGTGCCCAACACTTGCAATGCCACAGCCGAGGAAATGTGCACTAGTCGCAATTCAGCCACGGTCAGGATGGTGATACCGCATGCCTTAGGTTCAAGTGGCATGCGATGTATGCTGGTTGCAGTTGTGTGAATGATGCACAAAGGCGACTCAGCCAACAAGAACCCTGACACACGTTCCATGGCTAAGCGCTCCACAATGATGAGGACAACCCGTGGAAGACCAGCATCAAGCATTAGGGACAAGCTAAGGGCAGGAGTCTCAAATGCAGCTGCCATCATGAAACAAACCAAGGAGGTCACCGGCATAATCCAGGCAGAAAGCTCAAGCTTGCCTAAACGCAGGCTGGACTTCTGCATGAGCGACTGCAACATGACCCATCGCTGAGAAGCTATCAGCAATGTGCACAGTTGAAGCAAAGTTCCTGAAATCTGATCGTTGGCTTCTTCAATCTCTTCTTGTGAAAAGGACTTCGTGTCACCAACAGTGTGAGGATGCGAAGCCCCTAAAGCATTGAGAAAGCCTCCCAGTATTTGAAAAGCTGCACTGAGGATTCGAAGCCGATCCAACTGCTCAATGCCCCAGAACTGTGCCGAAATCATCATGAACAAAACACTCGTTGAATTCAAGATGGTGCGGGCTGAAACGGACAGAAAATGCAGAGACTTATTTGACATTCCAATCTCCACCCCTTGCAAAATGCCCAGGAAAATCAGTTGGGCCACATCTATCCTTCGCAAACTGCTGTTGTTCCAGAAATTGCCTTTTTGGCAAAAGCAGGCGCACATTGAAAACCAGCCACACACACCATTCGTCAAAGCGGTCAACGCAAATGGAAACTGATACCCCCCATCACTACCAACTGTTTGCTTCATGACTACGGTGATTGCTGCAGAAACAGCCCACCAAATGGCCACAAGCAGACACATCTGACCACGCAGGCCCATCAGTCGCAAAAATGCCCAATGCGCGTACACCTTCATCTGCCTCACACGTTCCAAGTGCCAACTGTTCTGCAAATCTCTTCTCATCCATAGGCGGTAAGCGCAGCGACTTCGCATTGCATGGTGAGATGGATCTCTCGAAACAGCTTCAGATCCCACGAAAACACGGAAGACTGCATCGTAGGTCATTAACAAGGATTGTCCCAACCACTGCTTATAAAGACTTCCTGGCCAAAGGCCGAAGAACCTCAGCTCATCTATCCTTACATCGATTCCCCTTGGGGGTTTCGTTTCGGCAACCGACGGAGTCCGACGGCGTCCGACGGAGATGACATCACCGCAGGCGCGAGCAGCGGGAGTTTTTCCTCCCACAACTGCGGTCAGCTTGCTCGCAATCCTCGGTGTGTTTTTGGCAAGTCTGCACTCCATTCGACTCGATGCAAAGCACATGGCATGCAAATACATATTTCATGTTGACCTGGCGCCCCCGGCTGGGTTCCTTTGGCAAATGATGCCTCAAATACAGCTGTACGTCAAACCAGTCCAGAAATCCGCAGACATACCCAAACGGTCTGGGGCACCAACAGAAATTGTGGGAATTCGGAGGTGAACCGAATCCGTTCTCCTCTGCGGGCGGCGTTCACAGTTCAATCATCGAATCTTGATCAGAGGTTCTTGCAATCTGGTGGGGTTTCACCTTAAAAAGCTCCTTTTTGACACCTTGAAGGCATTTTGAAGGAGCACTCCGAGACACTCCTGCTGAAAGCGTCGACCAGAAGAGTCTCAGCACATCGGCGGGCCTCGGAATTCACCCCCCACCGACCCCCGTCACCAAGGTCGGCGAAAAGACGCTGAGCGGCTCGGAGGTGTGGTTCTCCAGGTTTCGCATGAGTCCCACCTGCGAAAAACGAAACGCGAACCGGAAAAAACGGCCATGAGCCATGTTGGGATTGGTGAGGTTCAGGCCAGCTTGGTGGTGTAGTCAGGCCCAGCCTCGCAGTGTGTGTTCGGACGTTGCTTTAACCGCTCCCTCTGGGCGAACGCTTGGACCAGTCGGACAGACTGCGGTGAACGACTTCGCCTGTTGAACAGCTTCTCTCCGAGCATTGGCGCGCGCAGCCAGCTCAGTCCCGCGGTAGTTGGCGGCATTCCACGGCTGGGCATCCTCGGTTTTGAGCAGTTTCTGCGCGACTAGGCTGGCTAGGCACCAAACAGCACGCACGAACAAACGGGACTAGCTTGTCACACATCGAACAATGCGGTGCACAACATGACGATATAGCAACCCCAACAGGTCCAAGTTCAAAGATATATGCAATTAGGATTCTTGCCCAAATAAGGGCATGAAACCATGTGAATGACATGACAAACCAAATACTGTACCATCAAACCCGTCCGCACCAAATGTGCACACATGCCAACCCGCAAGAACTCTGGGTGCTCGTCAGCTTTGGGGGGCCATTGTTCGGGAACAAAGCTGTGAGTAAATCGGTTTTGCTCATCTAAGTGACATACGGCATCAAATAGCCAAATGTGCATTTACGGTAAGCCACACGCTTTTGAGGCTGTCACTGGACCAAGAATACACAGTTGGCCCGGCTTTAAAAAATAAGAATTCAAATTCTGACCGGACACGCCATCAGCAAATCAGTTTCACCGCCAACACCCAAACATCATTCCATAAGACAAGAAAAGAAGAAGTCTGGAAAGCGTTGCATTGTGTAGTATGTAATTGAGTGAGGCTTGAAGGCTCTAAGATGTTGCGACCAAGAAGACTGACATCGGAAAACACTGAGAAACATTGTAACAAAAGAGCAACGTAACTATCACAGAGCCGTGTGCAAGTTGCAACGTGCGTGAGTCAGCATCAGAAATTGTTCTTGATGCAGTCATTTGTTTTGCGTTGCACTGCGCGTCGATGACGATTGGCGGGGGGCGTAGCAGGAAGCTCTAGACTCTAGAAAGGACTCAATGCAGGAATCATTATGGCTTGACCCGGGTATTACAAAGACTCCCTAGCGCCATCGCGAGGAAATCTTGCCAGCGAGTGAGGTCAGGTTTGAGTACAGTAGGCACCCTGCACACACCAGCGAAGCTTGACACATACCAGTGTTTTTGTTCCCGATGTAATGAACCGATCTGGAAAGGCTTGGTGTGGGTGAACGCATTGGGATGTTGTAAATGGTGGATGTGAATGATGGCCTCGAGCGTTTGGGCCCACGAATGCCAGCCAGTTACCGTAATTGTATGCGCACGCGAAAATCCAATCTTGGTTGACGCCTTCCAGGAGAACCTAGGAAACAAAGGTGGTGGTTGGGGTATATATATATATATACTCGGTCTTTCGCACAGGTCCACTCGCTCTCGCTATCTCTACACACTGCTTGGGGTGTCTAGCTCTGGTCTCAACATTGAATTTTGCCGGCTGGCACGTGGAAGTCGAAGCCGAGGGGGCGGCCTTGCACAACGACTCTCTCGCTCGCAAAACAGTTGCACTGTTCAGTGGGTGTCCTGTCTGCCTATCTACCTGCCTGTACTCTCCAGCAAGGCGGATGCCACGTCGTGGTTTTGCCTCTCAATGTAACAAACATGAGGCAAAAATCCCAGCAAAGCAAACAAGAACACATTGTACCAAAACAAGAATGTCAGACCGCCTCATCTACCTTTTGCGGAGCCACTGCCACTGAGACAGGTGCCACTGATGCCACCACCTGTACAAAAAAACGACCGGCCAAAGAAGTGCAGTGGCGCAGCTACAAGAGCACATCCCAGCCTCCGTGTACATCTCAGGGTCTCCTGCAACAGAATCACCTGGACTCGGACTCTGCGTTTTTTTCCACCGCTAGATCAGGCGGTGGAAAAGACTTCAATCAGTTCAGGCTGACTTGGAGCATTCAAGGCTCCCAAGGACAGTTGGACCAACACTTTCTCATCGAAGTTCGCACATGAAGTTCCCATGGTTCACACCGTCCAACCTGGAGAGGCGCCAGCTCCAGCTCCAGGGGTCCCTGAGAGGCGACGGACGAGGAGGACGGGCGCTGCGGGGGTCGCTGGGGGGCGCGGCGTTGCTGCTGGCGGCGGCGAAGCTCGTGACTCTTCAACGAGGTCACGTGCCACGAAACCGCCTGGCGAGGAGCCGTCTTCCCGGACACCAAGCTGACACCGTCTGGAGCCTTCGGCAGCTTGAGCGGCAAGAGCCCTCTTCCCTGTCACTTGGATGAGACTTCTCTGAAAAGCTGCGGAATGACCACAAACAAGGTTTGCTACGTTTTCTGCTGTGCTCCTCCAGTGCCCATACTGAGGCATTGGCTTCTGGCCAGCTTACCATCCGTGGCCAGTCTTTCTGTGTCCTTCCAGCACTCACCCCAGCATCAAGAATGATTCTTCATATGTGACAGTAGGCATAGATTTCACAAATAGCTAAAACCATACAAGGCACACTTTGAAGGAAAAGAACGCAGCTCCCCGGATTGCTCCTCTGGAGCGTCGAACTGCCAACCTGCAAGGGACTGTAGACTGGGCAGTTGGTCGAAGCCCGTGTCTCTTCAGCGCTCGAACCGCCGCTCGCCTCAATGACCTCCGGTTCCTCACTGGGGTCCGGCAAGCCTCGCACTTGGATCACTTGGATGTGAAGACACTGGGGAGGTGCCAATTCCATCAGAAAGGCCTAAGGACTTCAGAGAGGCTTTAGGGAGAGAGCTTTGGCAAAATGAAGACTATCAATCAATAGCTCCCAAATCAATTCAATGTCCAAATTTGGTTACTTCTTGTGCTTGCAGCGGAACAAGAGAACCACCTCATCAGGTTTGAACCACCTACTGTATCTTCGAGCGACATGCCTATACCCAGAGATTGACCTGGCCCCAGAGACTGAGTGATCCGCTGCATTGACCTCTGGTTTGTTGGATTATGTTGGATTGTTGGTGTTGGATTAACGAGGCACGTAGAGTGTTCCAACATCAAGTCGGATAGATGTCAATTCAATTGTTGGATTTCCTTCACCACAGCACCCTACTAGTATTCACCGGACAGATTAGTAGGGTGCTGTGGTGCTTTGGTGAAGGAAATCCATCGGACAGATTCACCGCCGAAACTTAGCTGGGGGCCACAGATTGCAGCAAAATGCACACGTTCTTGTCTTGTGCCCGATCGGGTGTCATAAAACTGGCCAACAATCGATCGCTTGGCCATGTGTGGCCGCTGGTGACCTGTGTCCAATCTATCCGTAGTTGTTAGTGAATGTACATGTTGACTGGTATCCGTGTGTCTGTGTGTGTGCGTGGAACTGCGGCTTCAATGGGACGCGCGTCCCAGTCTCAAAAACAAGCTCCGATCGCTGGTTCTCCCCACCTAAGGCTGCTCGCAAACCAAGTTGGAGGTCCCCGTCTGCTTCCCAGTCACTGTCCTAGGCCGGTCACGGTCTTCAAAACCGCCTAGCCAAGTCTGGCAAACGAAACAATCGCAGCCATCGCTCTTGCCAAGTCTCGTCATCATTCTGTCCACTTCCTGGAGTGGTTTCGGTGGTTTTTGGCAAAAGTTGAAAAAGAAATGGAGCAACAGACCACGACCAGTCACTACCAGGTCACTACCACTTGCTTCGTCCTTGCAGCGTCCGCGATGGCACCATGGGAGCCGATTTCCGCGCGGCGGGCGCTTTGGGGCGGCGTTCCTCACGCTCCAAACCAGGATCGAGGCTCGACCTCTTCTCCGGATTGGACCTCTCTGCCAAGCTCTCTGGACCTGCTTCCTTTGGCCCCGACTGGACCTGTTCCGGCTCGTCTGACTTCGCACCCGGTCCACCTGACTCGCCGGTGTCCTCGTCGGCTTCCGGGACCGAAGCGGCCGGAGGAAGGGAGGAGTCGGCATCGGCCACTTGCTCCGGTTTCTCACTCTCGGCTCCAGAGTCGTCTTCTCCAGATTTCTCATCAACTTCTTCAGGATTGGCTGCTGTCTTCAGCACTCCATCCGCGAGCTCTGATTCGCCACGACCCTCTGCCTCTGCGATGGTCTCATCGTATTGAAGGGCCTCTTCATCTTGCACTGACGGCAACAACGAAGGTCTTCTTTCTGTCTGGACTACTTGAGGTGCAACTTCGATGGGCATTGCATGCACTGCATGCATGGTGTGAGCAGGCGCAAACGGATGCAAGGAGTGCTGTCTTGGGGCCATAGCCAAATACGAACTGTGGGACGTCATCTGGTATGAGACCGGTATAGGGGGCCACCCTCCAGGCCAAGCCTCAGTGGCGGGTGAAAGGGGCTATCCAATACTTTCACAAACTAGGACAGCTATGTCCAAGGTTAAGGTTTCAACTGAAGGTGGGCGCACTGGAGACTCCTGAACGTTCGATCGCCGGACGCCTTTTGCCGCACTAGTCGTGTCACCTGGCCTCGCGGCGAGCGCGTCTGTGTCGGTGATGCCGACTGTCCTGCGTAGTGGTGGTTTTCGATGTCGTCGCGATGGCCTCCAACCTACTAGCGATGGCCTCGAGTAGAAGGTGCGAGCCGGCCACTCTCCTGCGAGGTGTCCCGCCTCCGCCTGCGCCGGCGCTTGGCACCTGAAAAACCGGTGGAGCAGGAGTTGGCCCCCATCACACCAGCTGGTCGGGTAGTGGACTTCAAGCTGTCTTACTCGCCGCTTGAAGTTGAACGCACTTTGCATGAAGCTCCGCTGGGGAAACAGTTTCATGCACACCTGCTGGATGCAAACTCCGGGCAAAAAGACCAAGACCTCCTCTTCTACGTTACTGTGCAGAACAACTGGGTGCAATTGAAACTGCCAACCAAGGCAGCTTCACAAGAAATGTCTGAGATGATAGATGTTTTTAAGACTTGTCGATCTTCACATTTCGCACCACATGTGCAAAATAGTCCCGGCACTGCACCCGTCGCATCTGGGCACCGCACCCGTCGCATGGATTGGGGCACCAAAGGCCGCCCCGAGCATGCTGTCGGCCTGGACGGCTTTCGGTCGGGGATTCGGTCGGTTCCGAGCGAAGGCGGTGTCTTCGTTCCGAAAGTCTTCGCGCACCACATCAAAGGGTGACACTGCTGTCATAGCTTTCGCTTCAGCCTCACAAGAAATCAATCGAATCGCTCTGCAATCATACAGTTGGAACATGCTGGAACCCCCTCTCCTCGGCGTTGGCTGAAGCTGCCCAAACGTTGGCATCCAGCTTCCCGCCTGCACCGGACATCGCGTCACCACGCGAAGGCAGCGCGATAGTGGTCAAGCACGCGGACCGTCGCTTTTGGGCGCCGGTTTGCCTGGATCGGAGGACGTCTTCGACCTGTCTGCCGACCTGTCAGCGGGCGAAAACGCCGCGGAGGACGTGTTTCGAAGAGCGAAGAAGCTGCCGCCAAAGTTCCAGCGTGTCTGAGCATACTCCCTCCCAAAAAAATAACAAAGGATGAGAATCACCTTGGTCACACCATCGCATGAAGTTGGTACGGTATATCCACTATTGGCCACTTTAGCCACTTTAGCACTCGCTCCCGCACACGTGGTTCCGCACGTGGAGGGGCGTTAGCACTCGGAGAATGACGATTCGTGTGACAGTTCCTGCAGAACGCAACGCTGCACAAAATACTGGGCACCCTACCTAGCAAGACGAAAGTCTTCTTTGAGTTTTCAACATCTGTGGCTGATTTGTTGCAATTGTCGGCGCTGGGCTGATTTAGTCTACAGTGCAACGAGCCCGCTTGCCGTGCTTTTGCTTGGAATACGCATGAAATGACGGTGGATGTTGGGTCCATCTGGGGGGTGCTCGACTAGGAACGGCTGAACGTTATGCGCTAGTTTCGCACGTCATCTTTCACTTTTCTTGAGTGCGCATTGGTTCCACACCGTTGGATAACACGCACGCCATCTTCAAAACGCATTCCTTTCCCATGCTGATGGGGAAAACGACGAGCGCCGACGATCACTGGTGTTCAAAAAATGGCCACTTGCCTTGCCATGAGGCCATCCGCTTCATCTTCGGAGGTCTTCTCAGGTGAGGGTGCGGCCACCTTCATCAGGATGGCGTGCACGTCCCCACAAAGAAGAAAACGAAAACAGGAAACCATCAAGGGCACTGAAGTCAACGTGCCCTTCATAACTGGTCCTTTAGCACTCTTCTCGAAGAATCCATCCCAATCGAACATGCCGAAAGCGATGGAGCTGCCTCAGACGCCTTCGCATCGTCATGATTCTTTTCCTGGCACCCACTGAAGCGGGAAAAGTCCGGCGAAGAAACAGTAGCACTGGACTGACGTGCCTTCTTGCTCTTCTTCTTTTCTTTCTTCTTTTCTTTATCCTTTTCTTTCTTCTTGTCCTTCTTCTTGTCCTTCACTTTGTCCTTCTCCTTTTCCTTGTCTTTTTCCTTTTCTGTTTCCTTCTCTTTTTCCTTCTCTTTCTCCTTCTCTTTGTGCTTCACGTTCTCCTTCTCTCTTTCCTTGTCTTTGTCCTTCTTTTCTTTCCTTTCCTTCTTTTCCTTCTTTTTCTGTGCATGTTTGTCCACTTCGGTGGTGCTTGCCTCACTGGAGGGACGAGAAAAAGAACAAAAGATTGCTGGTCCTGTGCGCGCGTGCAAGCAAATGAATGGTTGGCACAAGAGCTTTCAACTGGCCTCTGCGGGTGGCTCTACATCCAACCTGACAGAACTGGGATGCCATTTGATCAGGGGACCGCAGAACGACGAATGGCAGTCATAGACCTTCCCGGGCCAAGTTCCCAAGAAAAATTGCTTCCGAGGCCGGTTGTATGAAATGTGTGCCTGTGTGCACACAAGCCTTTTTGAAGCTTGAAATCATCTTTGGCAGTTCCTATGACTTTGCGGCGATCTCCGAGAAATTGAGAAGAGAAGAGAAGAGAAGAGAACTGAGCAAGCCGAACTGAGTAAGCCGTGGGGGAAGTGAATGGCAAGATAAGCCCTGAGCTTCTGGTGACGATGATGTCCCGCTGAGAGGAGTGGTGGGCTCAAGACTGGTGCAAAGGGCTGCAAAACCCATAAGGCCGCCACAGTGTGTTCTTGTTGTTTATGTTGAGTATAGTCTTGAGTTGTTGTTCCTTTCTTTGGCCTTTCCGCTGAGTGATGGATTGGCTTCAGGCTTGTTTTTTAAGTCTGTGCTCTGTCTTGAGTATTGGGCGGAGTCATGGACTAGTTTTCTTCATTGAGCTACGTCAGCGACGTCCCTGTCCAAGCTTTCAATGTGCTTCGCTGTTTGATGCTCACCGCGATGAAAAAACAGAAAACCAGGACGGTGCTCGTGGGTCATCCCAACTGATTGGTGGATCGGAAGGAAACGTCTCACCCGAAGGCCGACCCAGCACGGGTGCCGCCCTCTGTGCCGCAGGCCAAGGTGAAAGAAGGATAGGCGAGCGAGCCAAAGGAAGTTGCATAGTTGCATAGGGTCAGCGAGTTCTTCGAAAGGGTGATGCACAGTTGAAACCTAAACATGACAGTGCCCGGCGCAGCATCACCAGGACGCAATTCCTTCCCCCCATCTTTGACCGACCTGTAGGTTTGTTGGGGACTGTCGGTGCCTCCATCGGGCGAGAATGCATCCAAAGGGGTCCGAATGCGGAAACATCCTACCGGTTGAGATTGTCGCCACGAACATCATAAGCTTTGCCCACACCTTCATTAGTGACAAATACCGTCCATCGCCACATCTTAGCATAGGAAGAAAACAACCTCGCAAGACAAAGAGTGAACATGAGAGAAACCATGCAAAGAAGTCGAAGTTGTGTGCGAGTGTGTCTCAAGCGACCATACCCCCCACTGCAAATCCTCATCAAAATACAGCTCCATCAGATGGTGCCTCTCTTCGTTTGGTCCGGGTCGGTTGAATCTGGGCAGCAGCTGACAAACCACAGTAGACAAGCGGTGACAAGCGCCTCCTTCGTGGCAAGTGGTCCGTCTCCTCGGTGGAAGCCTTGAGACACCCGCTTCTTAAGATGATGATTTCAACATACACCTTCAACGAAATGCTAGCATGTTCCTCTGCAAAGCCAAAGAACACAGAACCGCTCAATCACTAAAACTGCACACCCATTCCTTGCACCGAATAGGGCCATAGGGGAAGCAGCACAAATTGACATAACTCTACTCAGGCCTCAACAGGGCTTGACCTCAGGCGACTACGAAGTTTCACCCACAGAGCCAGGACGGGTGAAGCTTCACCCCCAAGTGCCACACGTGTTCTTACAAGTGCCGTTCCTTTCTTCTTTTTCTTCATCAACCTCGCAGACAAACACACACACACACAACACAAACCATCGCACAAAAGCGACATGATTACCCAGGTCATCGTGAGCGAGGCTTGGCAGCAGAAAAGCACGCTTGGCGGTGAAGCGATGTGATGGGCTGCCATGATGGCCAGTAGTTTGAAAGTTTTGGGGAATGGCGCTGGAAGCCCTTCTGAATAGGTGAGGTGGACTTCTCCTGGAAGCTTGTCGTGTTTCTGCAAGCTCCTCCCTCTAGAAATTGTCCAGCCGTGTTGGCAACAAGGCTTTGCAGTGTTCTGCAGGCTGCGTCAAGGAGTCTCGTTCTAGCAAGGCCTTGCCGTTTTGTGCTCCAGGTGAGGACTGTGCAAACAAGCTTGTCAGATCGGCAGACCAGTTCATCAGATTGGCCAGCATGGGCAATGATTGAGGAAGCCATCATGATTGATGGAAGGCCTGCATTTGGTTACTGGCCCTTTGGCAGTCTGGAGGGTGAATCAGCTGAGCCAATTCAAGGCTCAATTAGATTATCACATGGCTCGAGGGAAGGTTGCAGCACGTAAAGCCGGTTGTAAATTATCAATTGCTTGTCTGACAATCTGCTCTACTGCACTTGTAGCTGAAAGACTACTGAAGTGAATGGGTCCCTCTCCGAGAAGGCCTTCTCATCCGCGGGTGCCTCAGTGTGAGGCGGCTTCTCGCTTTTCGCTTCTCGGGATTTGGCCTCATCATTGACCAGTCACATGGGAGGTCACCACTCATCAAGAGAAATGATAGAAAATTGAAATGAATGTCTGAAACGGCAAGGTTTCAACCTTTCCCCAAAATGGCCTTCTTCTCCTTTTTTGTTTTGGTGGCTTTCACGGGCCTGCAGTACAGCACTAGGTCTCAAATGTGCATGTGCAAATGTCACCAGGGATGTTGCGGATTCGTCTTCACCACCGCCTTGCAGGGAATGAGCATTACAACGTCCCAAGACAGAAACAAGAAGAAGGGCTGAAGCATTTTGATGCCAAACAAGTCTTGATGCACCTAAACCTACATCTTTGGTGCGATAGGTGCCCCGAGCCTCCATACCACTCTCCTTCTGCGCTTGGACTGGAGGTTCATCTGCCGGTACCTCCGTGCTGGATTTGGGCCTCAGACGTGCTGGAGCCATCCGGAACCATTCAGAGCTCCCAAAGCAGCCACCGCCAGTTTGCGCGTCAGTACAAGGCCATGTTCATCCAACCAATGGCTGCAGCTGTTACACCATTGGCTCCTTTCAATTTGTATACGAGGGGCTTCAATCTGGTGCGGTGACCTGTTTGGCCACATCCGAGTTAATCCCAGCCCCGCAGCAAGTGGCCGAGCTGTCCGCCATCACGAAGTCATTGAGGCTCGGACGGCGTTCCTTCCCGTGACTTCGGCACATCGGCAGGAGCCTGAGCCAGTCTGGTCACCAGCGGCTGATGTGCCAAGTCTGAGTCAAAGAACATCAATCAAAAGAACCTCCAAACACAAGGCCTCTGTTGGAACAGCCTGTTCCCTACTCCAATGCTCAACATCTGGTCCTGCATCGATCTGCTTTCTGCAGCTGAAACAACTGTCTTTCTAGTCCGAAAATGTGAGGATTCACTGGTCTGACAACGGAGGCATTGAGCATTGTGTGGCATCCTTCTGGTGAAGGTTCTGGAGGGACAGGAATGCTTTGGTTCCCGTCCGATTGCAGGTTGGCCTCACCAAGCCAATTAAAGACGAGACGTCCGAACTCCAGCCAAATGCCGTAGAAATAGAAACATTGCTCATGGGCTCTCTCTATCTCTCTCTCTCTCTCTCATACTTTCTCCGAGCCCTCCGAGCCCTTCGAGCCTTGGCGCTTCCTCAGCACAGGCAATCACAAGCAATTGGCGAAATCGTCCTGCTTCTGAAAGCTCCATGTTCTCGTGCGACCAACGGGCTGAGGCCAACGCGTTGACGCTTGCTTGGCGCGGGAGGTTCCTGAACGACTTCAAATCTACGAATGTGAAGCGCGAAGTGTGTTCTTTCTTCCTAAGCAGGCGTACCCAGCGACTGGTTCCCCAAGCGGCTTTTAATCTATTTAACTGTTCCCTTTGCCTTTCACTGTTGAGTGTGCACGGCATCGCCTTCAAACGCTGGCTTGTCCCTTGACACTGCGGGGTTCCTCTTTTAGGATCTGGATTGCTAGGACTTCATTTGCCTCCATGTCCGGCCACTTATGACAGTGGAAGCTAACCATTCATATTAATGGATTTCTGTCTTTATGCAGAATTTGTGGTGGCTGCTAGCTGAGTTAGCGCTATTAGCCCTGAAGACTGTTCCATCTCTATCCCGCCTTGAAGCGCCGCTTCGGGCCACCTTGCTTGGCACTGAGCTTGATAAACTCTTTGGAGGTGTCGGTGACGACCAGAACGTCTTCCTTGAAAGTAACACTTCGCCGTCTTGGCAAAGGTGACACTTGGCCGACTTGGCCTGGCAAGATGCACCACTGGCCGCTTGCCCAACTGTCTCTCAAGAACACCCCAAAGTCGCCTGCAGGTGCCCTTTGATGCGGGATCACTTCAGCCTGCCATCACCAGTCTTTCGCCCCAAAATGTCAAGATAATATCAGGGGTCAGGGGAGCTCGTCATGGGTGTCCGTCTTCTACTCCTCCCAGAGGTTTAGGAACCCTTTTGAGGAGGGGTGAGACCTTGACATAAAAAGGTCCACTAAGTCCACCATCTCAAAGCTCCAAAGGGCTGCGTCGTCCAGTCCACATGTGTCTCAACGACACGCTCCATCGTCCAGCCTCAACGGGTCCGATGCTGCCGGTCGCTTCGCTGGTCGCGGAGTCGACACTCTCGCTGCGCGGGGAGTCGTCGCTGGGGGTCGAGGCTTCGTCACTGTCGCTCTCGTCCTCGACGGTCTCCAACGGCTTCTTCGAGCTTCTACGACTCGCTCCGTAGCCGTAACCGTAGCCATGCCTCAAAAAGGCAGGACAACCCTACCACCGGTTCGCCGGTGACATATTGTATAACCATGTATAACATAGTTGAACCGTGGCGAGTGTGACTTCTTGATGCATGTTTTGTGCACGGGGCACGATAGCCATCGCGGTTGCTGACCACTGCGTCTTAGAAATGGTTTCAGGTCGCAGCAACCATCGTCGTATTTCCTCCTGAGGTCATCTACCCACCCCAAACCCGCCCCAAAAAGATGTGGTTTCGTCGCTCCAATCATGTCAAAGTCATACTCCTGCTCTGCCTGGCTAGAACGACATGTGCCGAACCACCCACCCAACAACCCACCCTGTCATGCAACCCACCCTCTCATGCAACCCACCCTGTCAAGCCAGCAAGCACTACTGACAAGAACCCCAACCCACCCAGCCAACGATCGCCCAACCTTTAAGTGAGCCATTTGCTTTCGGCCCTCTCTTCAAGTCTCTTCTCTTTAGCAGGTTTCAATTTATGACACTGATGAAACATTGGGATTGCCGCTCTTGGCGTCTAAAGGTGGGGAGCTGTTTATGTGCATGTGCAGTGCAGGTGCGCGTGCTGAAGATGCAACGGGCACAGAACCTAATTGAGTTGCATGATAGTGCACATGCCCTTTCAAACAGACTCAAACACCCACAACAAAGAACAGCTAAGGCAAGAACGCCACAGCCATATTCACTAGCCGCAGCCATGTCCACAAAGGCACTGCCCCCGTTCTGTCTGTGTCTTGTGTCTTCATCTCCCTTGTTTCGGCCAAACGTCGAAACCTCCGGAAAAGCATCGAATGTCTCGGTCGTCCCGTCCCGTGCCGTCTGATCCGTCCCGTCTGCGGTTTCGGCTGCGTCTTGCTGATTTTTGCCCCAAAATCCTTGCGCAATTCCAGTGGTCAACTAGAATTCTTGAGCTTTTGAAACAGCTGAGGCAGATCAATCAATTTCAGTGGGACAGCTTAGGCTTGCAAAGACCCCATTTCATGGAGAGCGTTCCTGCAGAGCCATGTCACACATCGCTTACCTGCTGAGCCAGAAAGATTCCTGCATAGGTTGCCAGGGTGGCCAGGCAGGTTCCATACCTGTTTGAGTGATTCGCCCCACACAAAACAAAAACATTCAGACTTGGTGCATCAGCCTTTTCGAGTGATCACGATTTGTGAATGAGATCGTGTTTTACTTGTCTGACCCTCTCCACTCGCACTTTACAAAGGGGCCGCCGGCCGTCGTTAAGGACTTTCAAGGCATTGATGTGGAGGAACCCGTTTCCGGCACCTTCTCTCTCAGCCATTTAACCATTCACAGCCACACGGCACTTGTGCTCGACAGTAATCAACTTTCCTTTGAGTTTTGACTTGCTGCAGTCTCCGCCAAGGGCGAAATGATGCGATTGAGGCCGGTCTGGATGAATAAAACCAAAGCAAAGTAGAGAATGCAAAGGCCTGCCATAGCTGTACCCAAGCCATGGTGAGTTGCGACACTTCGAACATACAGTGGGCCTGCTACCCCTGCCAAAGCATCGATCGGTTGTTCCAACTTGTGAATTTCAGTGCCGCCCTCCACACCCTCCAGCAAAACGTGATAGGCCAAATCACTCTGCAAATCACTGAGCAAGCGCGCTGCCAGAATTGACACAAACAATGACAAAAGCAAAATGCCACTGCTGAAGTAACTTGTGGAAGCAATGACATCACCCGAATCGACCGTAAGGAAAGCACTCAACCGGCTTAAGGCCACCACCGTCAATGCTGTTCGGGCCACTCCACCAGCACGGCGGCACAGCTCCACATCAAAGCGCTGCCCAACGAGCTCCCCAAGAAACGACACCTTTGCGCCAAGGAGCTCCCCGACACAGCAGGTGCTTGCAATCGTGGCGAGCAAGCACGGCTGAGCATTGGACAAGAGCGAAGCCAATAACATATTGAAAGCATAGAAGCCAAATGCTAAGAAGAATTGCCAACATGATATAAAGAGAATCACCCATTTTGCCGGGCTTTGCTTCAGGCACTTCAGCATCAAAGGTTTTCCCGTTGACATTGGCTGAATTTCCATCGCCGGCTGGTCCCACAACAACAATGGTGCGGCAGCAGCTGACACCGCGAGAAAGAAGCAAACACAGCCTTCGAATGAAGCTATCAAAACGCCCAGCCAAGGTCCGAGCAAAAGGGCTACACGTCTGGACAAACACTCAATCTTCGCATGATCACCTTGTGGTTTGTAGTGCCTGCCAATCCCTCCAAGGAAAGGCAAGGTTGATTGGGACAAGAATGCTGATGCGACCATGGCCGGCAAGGTGTACCGCGTCAACATGCCAAAATCCGCCAAAAGATTGGCCAAATAAAGTACCCAAAAAGCTTTGGACCCGGCGGATCCAATCACTGGACCTAGGTGTGGCAATTCAAGACATATAGGCTGGCGCCAACAAAGTTTCGTACATAGTTCAAGCCCAAGAACAAAACTGGACTTTTCGGACAACGCATTGCATTCTGAGGCAGCAACATGCCAAGTGCCCCAAGAAGTGGTAGAGAGCGCAAGCCGCAGCAACGCCGCATTGGCATCCGTGATCGCAAGCTGACCGCTCCAAATGCAGCAATAAAAAAGGATCACGAGCTGCCCGTACAAAGGCAAGAAAATGTCGCAGGAAACGGTGTGGAAAAAAACTTTGCTCTTCCAACCTTCCGTTCACGGTGCTGCATGGTTTTGCAGTTCAACAACAGAAACATGCATTGTTTTTCAACACATAAGGTTTCATTTGAGCCAACCTTGCCTTTTGATGTCCAGCGGCATCTGAGGCATCAGTCCGGTCAGAACACCCAATCACCATCAGTTATGCCATGGCGTCGGTTTTGGATTTCATCATCATGACCAGTGATGTTGAATGGTGCCAACAACTATGCATGCTACAGCTCGTGGAAATGTTGGGAAGTTGTACACCGAGGGCTGTCAATATTCAACATCTGCACCCAAACAGCACACACGCATGGATGAATTGGAAGCACTGTCCTTCACAAGCACCACATGTTCCGAAACAAAAAACAGGCTGGTAGTTAGCGGAGTTGCGCGCGAAAATAGTACTTGGATTGAAAACCAACCTTTATCATCCCAAAAACCGTCGCGGCGTGCATGCGTTTCTTTGCGGAATTTTCCAAACATAAAACCACATGAACTACATAAACTGCAAAAGAATGTTCACAAATCATAACCCCCGCTGCAAACAGGTCCAACCAATGGCGCCCATGCAAACAAAAACATGTTCACGGACAACGTTGTTGTTTATATGGTTGTATGTTGCAAAATGCTCCAAATATGTCCAAACGTATGCACTTGAGGCCAGGGGGAGAGGTCGAAAGCTAGCCGAATCGCACCGGATGTACTAATTACATAGTCGGCAAAGCATGTAGGGATTACATGTTTTGGGAGGAAGGTTGCTATGTACATACTTTGCGCTAAAGAACGTAAATGTGACATCGCTGACTGGGAAGGGTACATTGGAACAACCCGGGTGCACTCGTTGGCAGGCACGAAGATGCGTGATCGGCAAATCCGGGGGGTAAATTTACCCTCCGCTTTTGTATGCCTTGAGTCGGAAAGAGGGGTAAGCATTTCTGACATCATACGGACTGTACATACACTAGGGCGTCCGTAGTGTAGGAGAAGCACGGGTAAAAGGTATATGGAATGGAGTGTCTTGAGGAAATAGCCGGTGTATGGTTATTGCAAATCTGGGGGGTAAATTTACCCCCCGCTTATGTATGCCTTGTGCTGGAAAGAGGGTAGGCATTTCTGGCATCACAAGGACTGTGCATACACTAGGGCGTCCGTAGTGTAGGATAAGCACTGGTAAAAGGTATAAGGAGTAGAGTGTCTTGAGGAAATAGCCGGCTTATGGTTATGGCAAATCTGGGGGGTAAATTTACCCCCCGCTTATGTATGCCTTGAGCCGGAACGAGGGGTAAGCATCACAAGGACTGTGCATACACTAGGGCGTCCGTAGTGTAGGATAAGCACTGGTAAAAGGTATCAAGAATAGAGCGTCTTGAGGAAATAGCCGGTGTATGGTTATAGCAAGCCTGGGGGGTAAATTTACCACCCGCTTATGCATGCATTAGGTTAGAAATAGGGGTAAACAACTTGTAACGGTGAAGTACAAGTCCTATGCAGCAAGCAGCAGCCAGCAGCAGCAGCAGGAGCAGCCGCCTGCAGCCAGCAGCCAGCAGCAACCACCAACCAGCAGCCAGCCAGCAGCACCACGCAGCAGCAGCGCAGCATCAAGCCGCAGCAGCAGCAGCACCACCGGCAGCAAGCACCACCGGCAGCAAGCAGCAAGCAGCAGCAGCAAGCAGCAAGCAGCAAGCAGCAGTAGCAGCGGCGTCGTCAGCCGCAACAAGTAGCAAAGCAGCAGCTACAAAAGCAGCAACCAGCGGCAGCAGCAAACAGCAGCAGCAAGCAGCAGAGCGGCAGCAGCAGCAGCACCCTTTACACCAAGCCACCGTTTACACCCAACCAACCACGTTCAACCAACCCCCTACACGGCGCAGCTGGGAGTTGAACCGCGGGGGGGTGGGGGGGGTTAGCTTGATATATCAATCTTTAAGGCACGCAGCCCCTCCCACCACAACATTGCTAAAGCAAAGAAGAACTCAGCTAGCATGCTAGCTTTCGTGATATCTGAATTGCATGCCTTTAGTGAACAATTTGGCACCCAACTGTACAGGGGCCCAGGGGCAAGCCGTGAGCAAAGCAAGTGAACTGGACCAGTGTGCCTACACGGAGCCGGGGGCGGTCGCCAAGCGAGCCGGCAAGTTGGCTTCGTGGGACGGCAAAGAGCTGCTTGTTTGTGCAGCGAAGTGCTGACAAAGTGTGGTGGAACTGCTCTCATGGCACTCGGGGCGCGACATGGAGCAATGGGACGCAAGGCTGGCTGTTGGTTGGCCCAGGTGCCTGTTGGGCTGGTGGTGGGTGGGTGAACAACTGGGTTGGTGACACTTCGGCCCGTCAGGCTACCGGATCTGGTTGTGCTGGGTCTGGTTGTGGGTGAGGGCCGGTGGGAGCGGTTCGGCGGCACAGTCGTGGAAGGCACCCACGTGGGTGCGTAACCATCCCCGCTCCCTACGTTGCAAATCCAAGACAAGTGTCCGTCGCCCATGTTGGGGACAGCTTGGGTGGGGAGGGATGTTCCGAAGAAGGGCATGGTCAAGTTGGACCCTTGCGTTGCACCGCAAGCATACCCATTTTGGCTGCCAGTGCTCTTCGGTGGGGTCCACGTGCCGCTCGTGCCACGCCCTTGTCTTTTCTTTTTGATCTCCTTAAATTTGTTTGATCCCCGTTCATCTATTTTTTGATCCCTCACCTGGAAATACGGGTGTGCATTTATTGAGGCGGCGCGGTTGTGATTCACATCTTGCTGCGTCAACGGCTGTGATGCATCAGTTTGCGCCATTGGAACTGATAACCACATTCAGAACGTATGCAAGCCCTTGCGTCTTGAAGCATGACTGCCACGTCATTGCTGCTGACACCGCTCTCGCGCACGAACCCTGAAGATGGTCCTACCCTTTTCAGGATAATTTTGCCGTATGGAAGGGACAAAACCAGCAAACCAAGCCCGGACTGGAATGCGCGCGCTTTTGATCACAGTCACTTAGTGGGCTGGGGCACTGGTGGGCGCACTAGATCCGCGCCAGACCCGCGTTAAATCCACGCTAGGCCACTACCGAGATGCTTTTCAGGGACTACTAATTAATAAGGGCCGTACTGGGTGGATAAAATCAATAGGTCTGACTCAAAGCTTGATCCGGTTGCCAAGACCTCATCCGGGTGCCAACCTCTGAGCTACGTAACAAGGGGGTCTGTCCAAAGGTGGATTGTCTCTGCTGTGCTGATCACAGGGGCCGGGCGAAATCGTGCATATGACTGGGCCCACTGTGGGGCCGCAAGGCTGGTTGCTGTGATGGCGGGGTGGCCCAAGCTCGTCCGTCAGATCGATAATGTCACGCGAGGCGCCCATCGTCACGCGCTTTGCGCCAATCATGGCATTGTCGTCCCAGCTTCGCCGCCGCCAACCGGACACATGAGCCCCAAAGCATCCTGCCAACGCGTTGCCGCAAGGTCCTCTTACTTGATCCAGCCCGGCCACATGAGGATCAACATGATAATAGCATGAACTTTTAGCATTTAAACAAAAAGTCCGAGGGGATCAACAAGAAAAGTAACAATGTCAAAACACATGTAGGACTTTTAACGATAACAGTGGTGGTACTGGAAAGCATCAGCAGCAAAAGGAGGAGAAGGAGGAGGAGCAGGAGCAGGTGTAGGAAGAGCGGTAGTACTAGTTGTGGTAGTACTAGTGTAGTAGTAGTAGTAGTAATAGTAGTAGTAGTAGTAGTAATAGTAGTAGTAGTAGTAGTGGTGGGAGTGGTAGTAGTAAAAGTAGTAGAAGTAGAAGCAGTAGTAGTAGTAATAGTAGTAGTAGTAGTAGTAGCAGTAGTAGTAGTCGTCGTCGTCGTCGCAGTCGTAGCAGTAGTCGTAGTAGCAGTAGCAGCAGCAGCAGCAGCAGTAGTAGTAGTCGTCGTCGTCGTCGTCGTCGTCCACGTCGTCGTCGTCGTCGTCGATGTCGTCGTCGTCGTCGTAGTCGTAGCACTAGTAGTAGTAGTAGTAGTAGTAGTAGTAGTAGTAATAATAAGAGTAGTAGTAGTAGTAGTGGAGGTCGTAGTCGTAGTCGTCGTCGTCGCCGTCGTCGTCGTAGTAGTAGGTAGTAGTGGTGGTAGTGGCGGCAGCAGCAGCAGCAGCAGCGGCAGCAGCAGCAGCAGCAGGAGGAGGAGTAGTAGCAGTAGTAGTAGTAGTAGTAGGAGGAGGCGTGACTGCAGTCCATGAATTGTCGCCTCTTGTTCGAGCAATTGGGAATGGCCACGCCCTTTGCCACGGTGAATCATTGCAGTGGAATCCTGCGAGTACAAATGGGTTCCCAACAGCCACGTGGAAGAAGGAATAAACAATAGGGACGCGGAATTACAAAGCTTGCAAAGGATGAAAAAAAAACAAACCGAACGTGCAAATACACTACGCATCAGTCAGCACAAGAATCGAAAAAACAATACCAAGAGAGGTCAACTCGAAAACTTTTGGGACTCGGCACAGTCCCATCCATCATAAGTTATAAGCGAGTGGCGAGAAGACCCCGGCCTGCCTGTTTGATGTTACAAAGAAGTTGCTGGTCCGATATATCCAAACAGTGCGCCCGAATAGGTTGCATTTGGTTTTCCGCCATGTCTGTCCGAAAGGTTCCAAAGTACATCCATGTTCCTGCTGGATGCTAGCGTGCATTCGAGCGTTGGTTTGTCCCCGATCCATGAATGTTGAAGGTTTTTTTCCCCACACACCTTCTTCCTCGCGGGTTCAGCCGCGCAGGCCTAGGCGGCTAGGCTGGGCACCCTCAGGTGAAGAAGGCCAGTTCGCTGAGTAAAGGTGCCTCGCCGTCTACGTTGGCCGCAGCGGCCGCGGGAAGCATGAGAAGGGAACGAGGAAGGTCTGTCGGGCCGCGAAAGCAAGCAAGGCAACCCAGCGCCTGCCCAACACGGTAGCACAGTGGGGCCACCCCGGCGCGGGGTGCGAGCGCGCGGCGGCTGGCCCCCAAAATCCTTCTGAGAGATTTGTTCTGAAAGGCATTGGGAAGTTTAAGCCTAACAATAGCGTTAAAAACTTGCATGTTCCATTTGATATTGGTGTTGGTTATTGGCTACCCGTTGCAATGGAGTGGCTGGCTCTATTGGAGGTCCTGCCCGGTTGGCAAGGGAGTT